TCACGTTGGAAAGGATGTCGTTCCCCGAAAGGTGGAACATGGAACCTAAGTAGATACGTTATCTAGCAGCTCCTTGCTTTTTTTAGGTACATCTTTCCACGCGTGAATTCTTCTTCTAATGCAGCAGTAGCAGTTTACCCCGGCACAGTTACAGACCTCTCGGGTTGGGTCTGCCGGCTGGACTCGATTTGACCATACACTGAGCGAGTGTTGCGTGATCTGTCCCAAGCTCGATGGGAAGCCTGGGATCATGGTGAGCCTTTACTCCTACTGTGGTCCTACCTTTTAATCAGAAATACTATTGATAGTGTCCTTACTCCCTGTGCTTACCTCTTGCATACGTGTAGGTCTGAGGAGGTCCCTTTGATGAAGGAAACATCGCCTGGCAAAGAGGATACCTAGAGACCCGACGAAGGGACGAAAAGACAAAGGGAACCGTCGAGTGAACCCACGGAATCCAAGAAGACCATGGTGGAAGAAACTAAGGGTAACCCAGCAGCCTTAACTCCAGAAGCTGCGCAAAGTCTCCCTGCTGAAGGTGAGGGTAAAATAATTTCTTGATAGCGTCCGAGGGAGAGGAAAACCCGATCGACCCCCACGCCAGAGAGACGGTGGCTCCCGAGCCAGAACTTGATGTTTTTGTGGTCCAACTTCGGGCTAGAGAGACAACTAAGGAAGTATTAGGGATGTCCCCAAGCTGGTTGATGGCCAAAATATCCCTCGAGCTGAGGCGCATTCAGTAGGCGGTTCGGAGGAAACTAGTTCTGAAGCCATGCAGGGGTAAGAGACGACCCTGATTGACCCTGTGGGTGTTATTATCGCGAGTGATTCCCCTCAGGAATGACCTTACCTTCTAAAGGAATGCAAGATGCCCAAAATGAAGAACCTTTCAATGTGGGGGTGCCCACCAGAGGTAAAGATATGTTTGAATGTCCTTTATCCGCTCTCTAGGGAATCCCTGTGCTCGATGGTTCGCTAGTTTTCAGTGAGATGAACAGGCTTTGTGAGCAGGTAGTCTTTGTAAATCTTGCATATTTCCCTTATCTTTATATTTCTAACTGGTCTTTTTCATGGCTTCAGGACAGGGCAATTTATAATCAGACTTTCACCCGGTCTCAGGCTAAGGTGACCCGTCACGAGCGTGAGAAGATTCATCTTGTTTAATAGGTCACCTAGCTTCAGTTTACTATTGTCTAAATGTTTGCCAGATCCCAGCGTTTTGACATCTTTAATCTGATTCGTGTAGTTTAAGATGGAAGGTGCCCTATTGAGGGAGGAGCTCCGAGCCAGAGACACCGATGTTCTCGAACTCAAACGTCATGTAAGAGAGATAACTTCTGAGATGGATACCCTCCAGGAAAAGATTGCCTTAGTTAGGCACCAGCTTCATGATGTGAGGGCAGATAGTGACAAGTATAGAGGTCTCTATTCTGAGTTAGTTGCTGCACTATCCGGGATCCTGAATCTGAGGTGCTTATATCTTTGCACAAAGAGGATGTCGTTTTAATAAATGCTCAAGCTGGGAGTGCACCTAAGGAGGCCGGATTGACATTGACTCGAGCCGTGGAGCATGCTCGATTAGAATCTCGGAGGCGGGCTCTCAAGGTTATACACACGGGGGATGTCAACTTGTCCGCCGAGCTCGAAAGGGTGAAGACCCTAGAGAAGAAAATTGCCGCCCTATTTGCTTCTGGTGGTGCGTCGGGTAGTGGCTTAGGAGATAATGAGAATAAAGGTGGAATCTCCAGAGGGCAAGAGGCCATTTAAGGTCCTGGGGTTGTAGCCGGAACCGTTGGGGCACAACCTCCGGCAGAGCCGTCAAACATGTAGGCTCGATGATAGATTAGGGTTCTGTTTTACTCCTCCCTTGTAAGGGGTTTTAAAGGCCTTGTAAACGTGCCTCTGTGAGCAATATGTATAAAAGGCTTTTCGTGCCTCTGTGAGCAATATGTATAAAAGGCTTTTGTAAAAGCCTTTGCCCTTTGGTAATAATGCATGATGTTTTTGATAATCGATTCGAGATCTTAGACATTGGGTTAGACCCTCGGGTTTTTGCTATTGCTGTGTGACTTGTAACTGTCGAAAGTTAGTCCCCGAGTGTTCTCAAGTTTTACCTGGCTCTTATACGTTAGGTTAGTGCAACCTTTATTTCTAATGCTGGCGACAGTGGCTCTCACTTGTTGGGTCGGTGCAACCTTCGATTTTAGTGCTTGCAATAGTGGCTCTTACGCATTGGGTCGATACAACCTCTTGTATGGGCTGGCGACAGTGGCTCTTACGCATTAGGTTGCTACGACCTCTTGTATGGGTTGGCGATAGTGGCTCTTACGCATTGGGTGAGTGCGACCTTTTAGTATAAGTCGGTATTTGAACTCTTATTCTTTTTCTCTTAGGCATATTTAGTTTATTGTTTTGGGTTCAGTCTCCAAGTCGGGTATTGACTCAATCTCATTCGACCCTCGTGTTTTTGAATTTAAGGTTGGCCCTTAGGCTCTTACGCGTTGGGTCGGTATGACCTTTTATATGGGCTGGCGATAGTGGTTCTTATGCATTGGGTCGGTACGACCTTTTGTATGGACTGGCAACAGTGGCTCTTACGCATTGGGTCGGTATGACCTTTTGTATGAACTGGTGATAGAGGCTCTTACGCATTGGGTCGGTACGACTTTTTATATAGGCTTTATTTTTCCCTCGTTAAGGATTTTTTGAGATTGTGTTTGCCTCGGTCTTCGATGGTTCGATAAAAAACTCGATTGTACGTCATTATATGGCGATGATCGAGCACCTCAGGAGGTTTGGCTCGGTGGCTGAGTATCTCGAAGCCTATAGTCTAGCATAGCCTATTTAATCAGTTCTTGTCAAAGTATTTTTAAAGTAATTGAAGGCCAATGATTTTATAGCGATGGTCGGGCATCCCCAAGTCGTGTTAGTTTGGCTGGTATAGCCTTGTTAACGTAGTCATATGTGTTTCGGCAGAGCATTTCAATCCCTGAGTTAAGTAGTTTCGCCGTTTATATCGAGGGTATACTTTTTTAGGGGTCTTACAAGTTCTATATATAGCCTTAACTTTAAGATCAGAATTATGCCTTTAGTATGGTCTTACAAGTTTTTCATGCCTTTGAGGTCTTACAATTTTAGTTACTTGGTACAAGTATGGTTCATGCCTTGCTTGAGGTCTTACAGATATTATCACATGGTACAAGTGTGGTTCATGCCTTACTTGAGGTCTTAAAGATATTGTTATTGCCTTATATAGGTTTTACGAGACCGAGGCTACCCAAACGTGGTCTTGTGGCCTCGGGTTTTGATAAGTTGATGGGGGTGGCGATTGGCGAAAGTCCCCGAGTCATCGAGGGTTTATTGTTTTGGGAGACATCACTTGTAAACTTGGTGTTGCCTCATTGAGGGCTTATGATTTCGAGGTTTCTGACCCGGAGGTCATGTGGCCTTGAGTTTTCAACACCAGTCCCCGAGTGTTCAGGATGTTTTTGGCTCTGGAGCCGTTTTGTGATCTTGATGTTGCCTTATTGAGGTCTTATGCATTTGAAGCCCGGACCCGGGGGTCAAACGGCTTTGAGTTATTGACGCCAGTCTCCGAGTATTCAGTACGTTTTTGGCTCTAGGGCCATTTTTTGCAAAAAATAGTGAGCTTTCTTGAAACACGAAATGCTTTGATGAAAGGGAAAATGTTCTTTGATTACTTGGTACAAGTATACATGTCTTTGATGTTAAGGGCTCGGTTAATCTATTTGGACACAATTTTATCTACCGTTTGGCCTGGTACATTATTTTCCTATCGATCCCCCATTTAGCGCATCTTGGCTTCTCCGAGTAGGTGACCATCCATATGGATGCCCCCCAATATTCTAGGTTGATTGCAATAGAAGCCTTGAATACTTGTTGAGTCTTCCTTAGGTAGCATATGGGTGTTACCTCATTAAAAACCTTACCGGTAAAACCCTTTTCGAGATAAAATCCCGGTCAAAGGAAAAGAGTGCAATGTATGCTTTGAAACCATAAGGTATTTGAGCTAGATGGTGTTTCAGAATCTTCCATCGGACACCTTAATAGTAGTATTGTTTCAACATTGATGTGTTCCAATTTCTTGGAAGTTGTTCGCCTTCCATGGTACCGAGCTTGTAGGACCCTTTTCCGATTACTCCTTGGACGCGGTACGATCCTTTCCAATTTTGGCATAGCTTCCCTTCATTAGGGTTTTGGGTGTTGAGGGTGACCTTCCTTAAGACCAAGTCCCCGACTCCGAGGTGTCGGAGTTTTGTTCTCCTGTTATAATACCTTTCGATCACTTGTTTTTGGGCGGCCATTCGGACCAGTGAGGCTTATCGCTTTTCATCCAATAGTTCAAGGGCCATAGTCATGGCCTCGTTGTTCAAACTCTCGTTGGTGTGTCCAAATATTGCACTTGGCTCTCCTACCTCTACTGTTATCAAAGCCTCGACATTATATACTAGAGAGAAGGGTGTTTCCCTTGTGCTTGATTCTGAGGTTGTTCGGTATACGCATAGCACTTTGGGCAACATTTCTCTCCACTTTGCCTTGGCACTTTCCAACTTCTTTTTTATGTTTTGGATGATGGTTTTATTTGTAGACTCGGCCTGACCGTTTGCACACGGGTGGTAGGGCGTTGACAGGATTCTCTTGATTTTGTGATCCTCGAGGAACTGTGTTACTTTGCTTCCGATGAACTTCCTCCCATTATCGCATGTTTTCTCGAAAGGAATAGTGAATTGGCATATAATGTGGTTCCAGATGAAGTCAATGACTTCTTTCTCTCGTATATTTTCAAAGGCATGAGCTTCCACCCATTTTGAGAAATAGTCAGTCATAAATAAAATAAATTTAGCTTTACCTAGTGCCGTTGGTAGAGGTCCGATGATGTCTATTCCCCATTTAATGAATGGCCACGGCAATAAGACAGAATGTAGTTGTTCACCAGGTTTGTGAATCATAGGGGAAAATTTCTGGCATTTGTCGCACTTTCAGACAAATTCCATGGTGTCTTTTTCCATGTTGTCCCAGTAGTAGATTGCCCTGATCACATTTCGAACTAAGGAATCGGTGCCGAAGTGGTTTTCGCAAGTACCCTCGTGAATTTCTCGGAGTACATAATCTGTGTCTCCCAGACCCAGACAAAATGCTAGGGGGCCATCGAAAGTTCTTCTGTAAAGAATCCCGTTTTCGTCGAGCGATAACCGGGCTGCTTTGATTTGCAGGGCCCTCGATTCCTTCAGATCTGTGGTTAGTTTCCCTTTTTTCAAATAGTCAATATATTTATTTCTCTAGTCCCATGTTAGGCTAGTGGAATTATTCTCGGCATGACCTTTCTCGACCACTGATTTGGATAGCTGGACAACAGCCCCGGGAAGTAGATCATATTCATCAACAGATGATCCCAGGTTTGTGAGGGCATTGGCCTCGCTGTTCTGCCCTCGGGGTTTGTGGACCAGGGTCCATTATTTGAAACGATGTAATCTAATTTGGATTTTGTCCAAGTACCTTTGCATCCTATCTTCTCGGACCTCAGAGCTCCCATTTACCTAATTTACTACTAGGAGCGATCGTATTTTGCTTCGACGATCTCAGCTCCCAGGCTTTTGGCCAACTCCAGACCTGCAATCATAGCGTCATACTTGGCTTCGTTGTTAGTCAATCTTCTAGTTTTTATAGATTGTCTGACCATGCCACCCGTAGGTGGCTTCAGGATTATACCGAGTCTGGATCCTCTCATGTTTGTGGCACCGTTAGGGAATAGGGTCCACACCTCGGAAGATGTGCCCATTTTTAGTAAAAGTACCCCTTATACCTCGGGCACGAGGGAGGGCGAGAAGTTGGCCACGAAGCCTACCCGAATTTGAGATTTGATAGCCGTTTGGGGTTGATACTCGATATTATACCCCCCGAGTTCGATGGCGTATTTGGCCAATCAGCCTGATAGTTCGGGCTTATGCAATATTCTTCGGAGAGGGTACGTTGTTAAAACACAAATACGATGGCATTGAAAATAAGGTTTCAATTTTCGCGATGCTCTTATTAATGCAAGAGTTAATTTTTCTAGGTGTGGATACCTGGTTTCGGCATCCCCAAGGGTCCGACTTACAAAATAAACAGGTAATTGTCTCTGCTCTATAACATATTCTCTTGATCTCATTACTTCATTTATTGCTTATATTTATTGTGTTCTAGTTATTGTTCATCATTTTTTGCTTATTATTGGCCATAAAGAGTCATTATTGATTTGTTCTAAGTGTTAGTCGCCTTTCGATAGCTCCTAGCCAAGTATCAGACTTGACCCCGAGGCCCTCGAATAGGAAAGCTCAAGGCCCCGATTATTAACCATTCGGGTTGGTTATTACCTAGCTCTCAATCTCTTATTTAGTTTCTAAGTCTTCCACATAGCATCAAATTCTTAACAACTAGCATGAAAAAAGATCATGTATTTTTAAAACCACTAAATAGATTTTAATTGTTATTACCATTTTCAAGGTAAACAGTTTGGCGCCCACCGAGGGCTAAAAATAATAGTGATTCTTTTCTTGCTGGTTTAACCACATAACGCAAGTTATCTTTCACACTTTTTCTTGCCCAAGATCTTTCATTTCAGGTCAAAATGTCCGACTCAGTGAACAACAATCTTAAAAACCATGGAGAAAATAGTGTGGATGTTCTAGATGTTGTTGTGCCACCACGAAACCTTGAGAACGCACTAGGACCAATTCCAGTGGATGTGGTCTCACCCGTCGCCGACCATGTCGATATAAGCTCCCAATAAGAGGAGTGTGCACCTAGGAGACCAATAAGAAGCTCGGAAAACCCCAACTAGTAAATAATGGGAGGTTAGCCTTCACGTTATTTTTTAAACGTTACAAGCACAACAGCTGGCGATTGCTCAGCTGCAAAGTCACCAGAAAACTCCCAACATGGTAGCACCAGGAACGACCCTACCAACTGAGTAGGTACTGGAGTCATCGAGCAATAACGGGTAGGCAGACGATCCCTCCATCGTAAAGATGCCTGAGGACCTCACAAAGAGAATCGAGTCGGGCGAGAAGAAGATAGAAGCCAACGATAAGAAGGTAGAGACCTACAATTCCAGGGTCAATCAAATTACGGGCGCACCCCCGATTCTAAAAGAGGTAGACTCCAAGAAGTTTGTGCAAAAGCAGTTCCCGCAGGAAGCGGCCCAAAAACCCATTCAAAATAAGGTCAGAATGTCCGAGCTTCCAATGTACAACGAAACCTCAAACCCCAATGAGCACGTTACTGCTTACACTTGTGCGGTGAAGGGCAACGACCTAAAGGACGACGAGATCGAGTACATCTTACTGAAAATGTTCGGAGAAACGCTCTCGAAAGGGGCCATGATGGCTCCTAACTCCATATACTCATTTTCCATGCTGGCAGATCCTTTCATAAAGGCACATGCCGATGCCATGAAAGTAGCAACAAGGAAATCTGACGTCTTCAAGATCAAGCAGAGGGAGAATGAGATGCTGCGAGAATTCGTATCCCGCTTTCAAATGGACCGAATGGAACTACCACCAGTATCCAATGACTGGGTAGAGTAGGCCATCACTCAAGGTCTGAAAGAACAAAGATCGGTGGCTTCAAAGCAGCTGAAGCAGAATCGGGTCGAATATCCCATCGTGACCTGGTCGGACGTTCACAATCGATATCAATTTAGAATCAGGGTCGAGGATGACCAACTAGGTGCCCCCTCGGGCTCAGTATACCCAAGCAGGCTTCTAGAAAATGAGCCAAAGCTAAAAAGAGAAAGGTACCAGCCATACATCGAAGATAGGAGAAACGGCTCGAGGCATAATATACCCCGCAATGATCGAAGAATGGACCGATGCCGGAATCCTCGAGGACTCATCAACAAAGCTGGATACGATAGGCACACAGGGCAAATAGAGGCACCTCGCTTATCGGAGTACTACTTCAACAACAATTTAACAGACATCGTGTTCGCCATGAGCAAAATCAAGGACGCCAGGTGGCCCATGCCTGTGCAATTAGATCCTTCGCAAAGAAATCATAACTTAGTAGTGTGAATTTCACAACACGCATGGCCACAGGACCAATGATTACCACCAGCTACGAGAAGAAGTAGCCAAACTACTCAGTAAAGGTCACCTACGAGAGTTTCTCAGCGACTAGGCCAAAAATATGTTCCGAGAAAGAGATGCGTTCAAGAAGAACGAAATGAATGAGCCACAACATGCCATCCACTTGCACTTGGGAGGCATCGATGCCCCACAGGCACCTATGATGAGAAAAACCAAAATATCCATCACCAGAGAAAAGCGAACTCGGGGATACAAACCCAAGGATGCTCTCACATTCAGTGACAAGGACATCGAGACCTTGTCTCAGCCTTACAACGACACACTAATAATCTCTTTTCTTGTAAATATATTTCAAATTAAACGTGTACTTTTGGATCCAGGTAGCTCGGCCAATATTATCAGGTTGAGGGTGGTAGAGCAGCTCAGCATGCTTAACCAAATCATACCTGACTCTCGAATCCCCAACGGATTCAACATGGCGAGCGAAACAACGAAAGGGGAAATTACCCTCCCAGTCAACATGGCCAGCAAAACCGAAGATGCCAAATTCCATGTCATCGAGGGAGACATGAGGTACAACGTACTGCTTGGAAGGCCATGAATACAATGCATGAGAGCAGTACCATCCACCCTCCCTCAAATGATGAAATTCCCAACAAAGGATGGGATTAAGACCGTCTAGGTGGAACAACATGCGGCGAGAGAAATGTTCACGGTACATGATGTGGCCCTGACACCGGTATCTCCACCTTCGAAGGAGCCGAAGGATAAGCAAACAATAAAATAGCAATAAAAAGCTGCACTATTGACTATCCCCGACTAAACAAAGCAAGGGACCATACTGCATCCTTATCACAAGCGACTAAAACATATCAGGGCTCCAAAACATCGCCGGCACAATCTATACTAAGGTATGACAGTCTCCTTTCTCTTTCAATTGCATTCTACACTGAATTGAGTGCAGGTATCTGATCGAAACGGCCAAAGCACTATCCAACTCGAATGCCTTGGGTTTCAAAAGCATGCATTGCACTCCTTTCCTTCGACCGGGTTTGTATCCCAAAAAGGGTTTTACCGGCAAGGTTTTTAACGAGGCAACATCCATATGCTACCTAAGTAAGACTCAACAAGTATTCGAGGCTTTTTTAGAAATCAACCTCGAATACTAGGGGCATCCCCCTTGAAGGTCACCTACTCGGAAAAGCCTAGACATGCTAAGTGGAGTCTCGATAGGAAAATAATGTACCAGGCCAAACAGTCAAATGGACCGTGTCCACATAGAACGACGAAGCCCCTAATATCAAAGACATGCATACTTGCTCCAAGTAATCAAATAATACTTCCCAAAACCATTTTGCGTTTCAAGGAAGCTCGACATTTTTTGCAAAAAAATTAATCATCCCCAATACTCGGGGACTGGCGTACAACTCGAAAAAGTATGACCCCCATGTTAGAGCTTCAAACTCATAAGCCCTCAATAAGGCAATAACGAGATCCCAAAACAACTCTAACAATTTATCACAACCCCAGGCCATATGACCACATACGGGCAGCCTCGGTGTCATCAGACCTATATAAGGCAACAACAATACATGTAAGACCTCAAGCAAGGCATGAATCACACTTGTACCAACTAACAAAATCTGTAAGCCCTCAAGCATGGCATGAACCATAATTGTACCAAGTATCCAAAAACTGTAAGAACTCAAAGGCATGTAAAACTTGTAAGACCTTACTAAAGGCATAAACCCGGTCTCAAAGTTTAGGCTATATATCGAACTTGTAAGACCCCTAAAAAGGCATACCATCAATATAGGGACCGAAACTACTTCACTCGGGACTGAAAGGCTCCGGCCAAACACAAATGACTATGGTCACAAGGCTATACCGACCAACCTAACTTGATTCGGGGACACCCGGCAATTACTTCGAATATACTTTAAAAAAACGGTTAAGTAGGCTACCCTCGACATAGGCAAAAGATATTTGACCATGTTAGCTCCTAAACATAGGCTTCAAGACACTCAGCCACCAGGCTAAACCTCCCGAGGTGCTCGATCATTGCTATGTAACAACTCACAATCGAGGTTTTTATTAAATTGTTGAAGAGTCAAGCAAACATTATTTCAAAAACTCCTTAACAAGGGAAAGATAAAGCCTATAAAAGGTCGTACCGACCCAACATGTAAGAGCCTCTGTCGCCAGCCCACATAAGAGGCCATACCGACCCAATGTGTAAGAGCCACTGTCACCAACACACACAAAAGATCGTATCAACCCAAAACTTAAGAGCCCAAGGGCGAACTCTAAACTCAAAAACTTAAGGGTCAAATTAGCTTGATTCAAAACCCGATTCGAAGACTAAACTCAAAATAGTTCCCTAAATATTACTAATAGCAAAGGCATAAGAGCCATTATCGCCAACCCATACAAAACGTTGTACCGACCCAATGCATTAGAGCCTAAGGGCTAGCTAGAAACTCAAAAACTTAAGGGCCAAATGAGCTCGAGTCGATACCCGACTCGCAAACTAAACCCAATATAGTTGACCAAACATGCCTAAATTAGGCGCTTAAGAGCCTACGGGGACATACCACAAATCTAATGATTCCTTATAACTCATAAATCAGTTCATCTGGCTAAAAGCAAGGCAAAAAGAAATGTAGAAGAAATGAAACCCCGAAGGTTTCCTTTTATACATATATGCGGGAAAATACAAGCAAACTCATAACATACTTTGAAAGTACTATGTACAGAATCAGAAAATGAAATCTACGTCCCCCTTGGGGACTATGGCTCATCAGCCTCATCCTCGCTATCCTCGGCGTCAGACAAAAATGAATTAGCGTCATGTTTGTCCGCCCTCGCCCGCTTCACCTCTTTTGAGAGATCAAATCCCCTTTCCTTCGAGACTTACACCGAGCATAGTCCATACTCCTGCCCTCACAGTCAAGAGTCCTTCTCAGCTCAGCTTGAGCATCGGCAGCATCCTTCAAATAGATCGCCACTTTTTGGTCATCCTTAGTTTGGCTCATTACGGCTTCAGTCCGGGCATCTACAACCTCGACCTTTATCTTCAAAAGCTCAGAGTCGAGCTTCGTAATCACATCCATTCAAACCAAGATATTATCACAAGCTAAGAGAATTTGAACCTCAAGGGCAGAGGCTTTAGCCAGAGCACCCTTCCCCGTTGACACATGAACGTCCACCTAAACCTTTAACTCGTCATACTCGCGCTTGGCTTGGGAAGCTTTGTTCCGAAGGTGCTCTAGGTCCTCCATCGTTTTCTGCAACTGAAATAAACGAAACATTAGCCTCAGGAGATAGAAGAAAGAACACACACTCCCTCGAAACAGAAACTACCTGCCCCTTCAGGTAGCTCTCATAATTCAAGCTTCGACTACCGTAAGCGTGCCAACTCAACTTCCCTGTCATTGCAAAGGAGCCTAAGGTATTTCTCCCCATCCAATACTTTCCGCAGCCTGGCCTTACGGCGAAGCAGCTCGGACTTAAGCCTTTCAAAAGCCTACGAAAGAAAACTTAATAAGAAAGGGAAGGCGTGAAACTCAAAAGGCCTATGCCAAAACTCACCACAGAGTGAAGCTAGTGATCTTCCTCGAAGGTAGAGTGCACATTTGCTAGTACGGCTCCCTCAGCCCCAGAAGAGCCGACACCAGTTGGGACACCGGTCGCTCGGTGTATATGATCCTGGGTTTTGAGTACCCCTCGAAATACCATCGATGGGAATAAGAATCGGCGACAGATAACTTTCATGCCTCGAAGTACCTTCGACGGAAAAAGAAGATGACAGCGGAAGACAAACTGCCTTTCCAATACCAGAAATCGCGGGCAAAGCAGGATTAGTCAATACATCCTCTCCGAGCCCCTGGTATGGGTTCG